GAGAAAGGGGGGAGAGGGAGGAAGGGAGGGACGGAGGGAAGTAGGGGGGGAGAAGAAGAGAGGGCGAGAGGGAGAGAGGGCAAGGAAAAGAGGGTAAGAGGGAGAGAGGGCAAGAAAAAGAGGGTTAGAGGGAGAGAGGGTAAAGGAGAAAAGGAGGGAGAGAGACGGAAAGAAAGAAAGAAAGAGAGATAAAGAGATTCTTTTAAAATTATTCACTGAACTACATATAAAATAAAGTACATATAAAAGGTAGCAATGTTATAAAATGAAGCAATACAAAAATTTCTCAATGTTCCTCAAGGACAATACCTTCAAGAGTACAAAGTTTTCTCGGGGAGTTTCTGGTAATATCACCTCTGTCATGTCTGTGTTTGGTGACTGGGGTAATGACACCTGGTTCTTGTTCTCAGCCATCTTGAATTTTGTTCTCTGTTCTCAAATATCTAAGAACTGATTTGCACTAAATTTTGTACTCTAATCAGTTTGTCTCTGGCAAGGATTCAGATATACATGAAAAAAAATACACAAACCACCAAGATTCACTTATATGTAGGTGCTCATTTACACACTAATAATGGTAATGGTGGTAATATTGTTCTTTCGAAAGCTTGGCTGATCACAAACATAGGCCTATGAAGATACTCTGGAGTGCTAAGCCTGGAAAAGAGAAAAGTATTTTAGCATACACCCCTCAGAAATTTGTTATATACATATATGGTACAGCAAATTTTGTTTATATGATTCTTTTGAAGAAAATGTACACCAAAAACTATACCCTGAACAGACCCAATTCACATTACAGCAGTCACAAAATCTTTAGTACAAAGTAAAATCCCTGAGTAAACTATTAACTACATAATAAAGAGGAAAAACTAAAGAATGAATTATTTTCATGAACAACATGAAAAATAAAAATGCAAGAACTACACCAAAAATATAATCAATTCCCCGAGTCATAAAAGAAAACCTTGTAAGTTATGCACAAAGCATATAATCTGTTTTACAATGAGCATCTGCAAAAATCAAGTTTAGAAACTTGTATAGTGCTATAGTGAAGATTATCATCAATTGCCCCAGCAACACAATCAATTTGTATGCATGCCTATGGTCAGTGCAACTTGAATAAACTGAGGCTTTCCAAAAAAGTTCCTCACATTCGCTTCTCATACATGTATATCCACCTGATGATTCATAAGAAGGAATTATGACTTCTGCTGTCTTCCTTTCACCCTTAGCAAGAGTGTTTCTAGCGATAAATTATTGTTCTGGAACATGGAATAATAACTTCCCAGTGTAGAAAAGTCTAGCTTACATTTATTTGTACAATGCATATCACGAATTCCTCTACTAATAATAACAAAAACTAAATAAAATGGTCACTTCAGTAGCAACATTATTCTTGTTATAGAAATAATAATAACAGTACCAATAATCATCTGAAATTGCAATAATAACAATAATAACAATAACAATACTACTAATATATATAATAACTATTACAAAAAAGTAATAATAAATAATAATAATAATATATAATAATAATAATAATAATAATAATAATAATAATAATAATAATAATAATAATAATGTTAATAACAATACTAATGATAATAATAACAACAACAACAACAACAATACTAATAATGTGGTGGTGGTGGTGGTGGTGTTGGTGGTGGTTGGTGTGGTGGTGTGGTGTGGTGGTGGTGGTGGTGGTGGGTGGTGGTGGTGTGGTGGTGGTGGTGTGTGGTGGTGGTGGTGTGGTGGTGGTGGTGGTGTGTGGTGGTGGTGGTGGTGGTGTGGTTGGGGTGGTGGTGTGGTGGTGTGGTGGTGGTGGTGGTGGTGGTGTGGTGGTGGTGGTGGTGGTGGTTGGTGGTGTGGTGGTGGTGTGGTGGTGGTGTGGTGGTGGTGGTGGTGGTGGTGGTGGTGGTGTGGTGTGTGGTGGTGTGGTGGTGGTGGTGTGGTGGTGGTGTGGTGGTGGTGTGGTGGTGGTGGTGTGGTGGTGGTGGTGTGGTGGTGGTGTGGTGTGGTGGTGGTGGTGTGTGGTGGTGGTGTGGTGGTGGTGGTGGTGGGTGGTGTGGTGGTGGTGTGGTGGTGGTGTGGTGGTGGTGGTTGGTGGTGGTGGTGTGGTGTGTGGTGGTGGTGGTGGTGGTGGTGGTGTGTGGTGGTGGTGGTGGTGGTGTGGTGGTGGTGGTTGGTGGTGGTGGTGGTGGTGTGTGGTGGTGGTGGTGGGTGGTGGTGGTGGTGGTGGTGTGGTGTGGTGGTGGTGGTGGTTGTGGTGTGGTGGTGGTGTGTGGTGGTGGTGGTGGTGGTGGTGGTGGTGTGGTGGTGGTGGTGGTGTGGGTGGTGGTGTGGTGGTGGTGGTGTGTGGTGGTGTGGTGGTGGTTGGTGGTGTGGTGGTGGTGGTGGTGGTGGTGGTGTGTGGTGGTGTGGTGGTGGTTGGGTGGTGTGGTGGTGGTGGTGGTGGTGTGGTGGTGGTGGTGGTGTGGTGGTGGTGTGTGGTGGTGTGGTGGTGGTGGTGGTGGTGGTGTGGTGGTGGTGGTGGTGGTGGTGGTGGTGGTGGTGGTGGTGTGTGGTGGTGGTGGTGGTGGTGGTGGTGGTGGTGGTGGTGGTGGTGGTGGTCATCATCATAATAATCCTCATCATATAATAAAAAAACAAAAAACATAATAATAATTACATTAATAGTATTAACAACAATAAAAATAATAATAAACAGTATAATAATATCAATATTAATAATGATAATAATGATAATAATGATAATATGATAACATAATAATAACAATAATAATAATAATAATAATAACAACAATAATGATGACAATATCAATAACAATAACAATAATGACAATGATAATAATGATAATGATCATAATAATAATGATAATAATAACAACAATAATAACAATAATAATAATAATATGAATGATTGATGATGTGATGATGTGATGATGATGATGATGATGATGATGATGATTGATGATGATGATGATGATGATGATGATGATGATGATCATCATCATCATCATCATCTAATAATAATTATCCTCATCATAATAATAATAACAAAAAACATAATAATAATTACATTAATAGTATTAACAACAATAAAAAAAAATAATAATAGTATTAATAATATCAATGATAATAATAATAACAACAATGATGACAATATCAATAACAATAAAAATAATGACAATGATAATAATTAATGATCATAATAATAATGATAATAATATAATATAATAAGGATGATGATGATGATGATGATAATTGATGATGATGATGATGATGATGATGATGATGATGTGATAATAATAACAACAATAATAGTAATAACAATAATAATAATATAATATCGATAATAATAACAATAACAATCATCATCACAAGAAACAATATTAATAATAATAATGACAACAACAACAACAATAATAATAACAACAATAACATTAACAATTATATTAACAACAACAATGACTACAATAATAATAATAATAATAACAATAATAATAACAATAACTATAATAATCAAACAGCTATAATAAAAATGACATTGCTAATAATATTTGACGATAATGATAACAATAGTAATAGTAATACAATAATAATAATAATAATAATAACATAATAATAATAGGTAATTCTTTACAGTATGGGCACACATGCCAGTGACTAAGTCCCCAACTCCACATCAAAATATTTATTCATCAATTTAAGTTGCTATGACTGGCAGTAACCTTCAGGCACTACCCGAGGGAGGGTTGATTGGGGGCTCACCCACCGGGAAACATTGTCTTCACCTCAGTATGCACAGCAAGATAGAGCTGATAGAGCTACGTGTGGACTTAGGTTGAGAGCAGCACTTTTCCTTTATTTGCAGAGTTACTATTCATGTCTGCAAATTATTTCTTGTACTAAGGACTTTTTGTAATCTATAAGAATATCATATTCAATTTGTCCTAACTTAGTGCTTCCACACCGTAAGGATAAACCTATTATTCATAATAATAATTTATGAAAAATAAATAAATAAATAATAATAATATTAATAATAATAATCCATATGTTCAAAACAGTAATTCCCAAACTCCACACGTCACTAAATTTATTCATCAATCTAAGTTACCATGACTGGGTGACTGCTCAAGGGAAGGGTTGATGGTGGGCTCTACCCCCCAACACCTCTGGGAAATATTGTCTTCACCTTGGTATGCACGGCAATATAAAGCAGAAGCTCGGAGCACTGAGTGTGGCGCTTCCGTTGATGCCAGCAAATTACTTCTTGTATAGTCCTCAGCAAGAATATCATATTCAATTTGCCATAACTTAATGCATCCATACAGTACAAATTAACCTAATAAACTAATAGCAATAGGAAAATTAACAACAGAAACATTAACAATAGTAAGATAATGAAAATGATGATAATAGAAACAAACGAAATAAAAACAATAATAATAATAATAATACCAATATTATTCATAATTACAACAATAACAATAACAATAATAAAAGCAGTACTATTCACAATATTAGCAGTAATAAAAAATCTATAACAATAATAATAATAATAATAATAATAATAATAATAATAATAATAATAATAATAATAATAATAATAATGATAATTATAAATATAATAAAAATAACAATAATAATAATATTATTATTATAACAACATTAATAATAGTTAAAATCATTACAATACAATGCAAACAAATAATAACAATGACATAATAACAATAAATATCATAATGAACTATGACAAAAACAGTTAAAATGATAATCTTTGGCAATATCACCTTCATCATTAGATTATTCCTATTAGCAAAAATAAATAAATCAAGAATTTTTTTTAAATTGGAGATAGGATGTACACTAAAATCATAAACAGCAGTGATCTCCATAATGCATTTGGGGCATTTATAATAAAAACAGACAGTGAATATCTAAAAAGTAATGGGCAGATTTCCTACTATTTACTTCTTAAGTTGTCCCAGTTTGTTCTGCATCCATTAGAGGTTCAAAAACCTGTTCCTGGTTACTAATTAAGTAACTATGAAAAAAAAAAAATAATAATAAAAAAATAATAATAATAATAAAATAAAAATAAATAAATAAAACAACAAATAAATAAATAAATAAATAAATAAATAAATAAACAAACAAATAACTAAATAATAACAACTAATACCATAGCAAGTGTATTATAAAAACATCATTTCAATATACTATTAAACATATGCCATCGGGGATGTCATGTGCATAAGTACCATGCCCACTGTGTTTAAACTAGTAATTGTTTTTACATATAGATGGCTGCATAAGTACTAAGTAACCAATGAGCCAATTACAAGAACTACCTATCTCACCTGTTTACCCTTTTCCTTGCTTTTCGATAATATATTCTGGTATTTGATATTGCTGATAGTACTGTCAATAACACTATAGTACTGATGATGCTTATATTGAAAATAACAGCATAAATATTGATAGCATTAGTAACAAAAACACTTTTCCCAAAAATTCAAGGAAAGATGAAATCAGGTGGGGTCACATGGTGTACTAATTGACTCTGTGGGTAACCAATAGCAGAGGCATCTATGCAGACATTTAACAAAATATTACTAAAGTGAACACAACATTTTCCCAGCGGCCTTGGGTTAAAATAACATGATTAACACTCTTTATAGCATTATCTAAGCATAGTAATTCTTATTTACCTTTTTGAGGTTTTGTGGTTTAACAATGGGATAGTAACTATCCTGAATACATATGGGTTGACACAAAATAGACTACTTATAATCATACACTATGCAGATTAGGCCTAAATCTGATGCATGAGAAAATCTGTGAATGTGCATCAAAAGACCAGAGAGAAAATTAAGGAAGAAAGTATATGAGCAAGTGATTACAAGTACCTGAGGATGAGTTAGTAAATATCAATGTGTATTGTTAATACACTAAATTCAATCTAAAATCCTTTTGGACATTATAAAGCACCAAACACACATATATAACAAGTTGAACATTCTATAATACATTACAGGATATTTATTGGGACTTTAGAGACAGATCAGTAAAATGATGAAAAAGAGAATACACCTGAATAATTTATGAATATCTAATGAGAAACAACACCTCAAGCCCAACTGCTACTTTTCTTTGCTAACAAATAAAAGTAACTCCTTTCACACTACAGATACCAAAATGGATTCAATCTCCCTCTTCACAAGTTTGGTATGAAAGCTTCAGAATACTTGCTTTGAGATTATCAAAGGTTCAAAGGGTAAATTGAATAATTTGGAGCCACAATCTAAAACATCTGTTATGAAAACATGCCAAACTATTATTACAAAGTAAAAACCAACTGGCATTCTACCCATCTAAAATAAAAGATCCCCTTGAATCAATATCAAATAGAGAAAACAATATTAGTCACAATCACAAAGAGACATGGAATAATCCGAGAAACCCTTACCTTGTAGCCAGAACCAAGATAGGCATTACACTCTCTTCAAGTCCAACCAGTGAAGAAAACTCAGATTGCGGGCAGTGGCGTAAGAAACTCGGGTCTTTAATCACGATGTTTATTTTGTCTGACGCTCTTTCTCTTATTTTCCTATCTTATCTTCTTCTTTCCCTTCCTTTATTTTCTGTTAAATCTCCCCCTTTCCTTCGCTATTCCAGCTCCTCCTCTTTCACAAGCACTTATCTCGGCTCTCTCGCCTTGACCTTCTCCAATGTCGATCTATCTTTACAGCAGACGAATTCCTCTCGGGGATTGCTTCACTGTGGCGTAAATCCCAAATTTGACAGAGAGAAAACACCGCCGCTATCCGTGACACATATGTGACATTCAGCCCGTGGGGGTCTTCGCCTGAATCGCCTCCTCAGCCCAATGTTGTGTATTTGCGGCCGACATAAGCAACACACCGTCACCGCAGCCGCCGAGGGATGAAAGCAAACAATACGTGTTTTTAATTAATAGCTTGGGTTTCCTACGTACGGTATTTTCGTCCTTTTATGGGTATGTGGGTTTCAGCATTACTATAAGACGAGTGTTCCTATGCTACTGATTTAAACGAATGTTACATCACGTTGCAGAAAAAATATGATGAAAATGCGATGTAAACACGTCATGTTACATATTTCCTTATTCTATAAACAACTCAAGACTTTTGTCGTATGTTCTTTGCCAAAGCGAAATGTAATATATGATGATATGTGAATGAAAAGAGTTCTGTATTTAATTAATTGTAAGCATTTTTATCGACGCGCCCCATATAATATTTTTCATTCGCAAGGAAAAAAAGATTATCTTTAACTTTAATTTGGATAAAAAATGTTCGTCGGTGACTTGCTTTGACGCGTGACAACGCGTCGCCTTCAATTACATCAATTATTTGGATCAAGAAAAAATATACCATTTTGTATGGTTACAGACGAAGTGGTTACACACTTACAAAATTTAGTGTTAGTGTACTACACAATCAG